GTCAAGGTCTATGCAACGAAGGTAAATTCTCATTCTAGCCTTCCAATAGGCGAAATTTGTCCCGGTAAAGAGAGGTGGTCTAGTTGTGGATTGTCCTTCTAACATATGCATATTCAAAGAGGCCTCCATTAGATCTTTTCTCTAAGGTTGTTAAACCAAAAACTGATATAGAGACCAAGCTCTGATACCAATTGAAGGACCCTAGAGGGGGGGTGATTAGGGTCAAGAGGCTCTAATATGCAATTAAAATTCAGTACAAACAAACCACAGTAACAGAAGTGCAATAATAAAGAAAGAGATAAAGTTAGGAATCGTTATCCTTGACGCGCGATGTGTTAACGAGGTTCGGCCCGCTGACCTACGTCCCCGCTCCCCACTCTCGAGGAGAAATCCACTAACACATCCGGTTTGGAAGCCGGAACTTCGTCTACACAATGATCCCACAAGATCTCTCTCTCACTACACAGTTGATCTCACAGATCACACTCCCTCACAGTCGATCTACACAAGATCTCACTCACAGCAGCAGAAGATAAATGCAAGACACTCTCTTTACACAAGCCCCTATAGCAAAGAGAAGAGTACTGAAGCTGGGAAGTGAAACACACACAAGAACTCAGAAGAACAAGTTTGATTTGAAAATTTTCTCAGGAAGAAACAGAGCTCTCTGGTTCTCTTTCAAACGTTAGGGCTTAGGGAAGAAGAAGCAGGCTTGGGGGTTTTTATAAAAGAGTTTAAATCAATAAAAACAAAAACCCAATCTTCCTATTTAGGAAGATAATCTACTTTGCAGGTTGTGACCTCAGACTGTGCCAATCACTAATAAGTGAAAGCACAGGAGTCGAGGCGAGAAACGACCGTTTAAAAAAATCGCGGCTGACCAAATCGGTTGACCGAAGAAATAATCGGTCGACCGAAAATACCGTCGGTCGACCGACCGAAAAATTCGGTCGACCGCGGGCAGCTAAAGAAATTTGGAAAAACAAGCAGAGCCTCGTCGGTGCGATTAGAAGATTGAAAATTCGGTCGACCGTATCGGTCGACCGACGACAATCTGGAAAGATACTAAGGAAAGGTCATAGGATCGGGCGACCGGGCCGGTCGACCGATTTCTGATATTTTCCAGAAAACAGATTTTTGACCAACTTGAAATATTTGCAAAATATTCATTTGACCTCTGAAAATTCTGAAACTTTGTAAAATGTTTTTAATACTAAAAACAAACTGTTTGGAAAAAGAATTTTGCAGATAGGTACTCATACTTGTGAAAAATAGTGTTTTGTGAAAAACGCTTAAAAGACACAAGTCTAAAAACGTGTGTGTGATTCCCAATAGCTTCAAGTAAACTCAGTAACTCTTTGCCTACATTCTAGCACTAGAGAGAAAAACAAAAGAAAGCTAATATCCTCATATTGAAAGCAATACTTGAGCTTTGATATAGCTTGAATCGGATGAAGCTTTTATATGACTTTGTTGTTCTTGAAATAACGTTGCTTCATCTTTTTGGCCTCCTCCTCCTTTAGATGTCTTCGTTTTAGCGTATATTCCATCCATCCTCCGTTAATGGCACTAACGAGCTTGACAAATGATTTTACTATATTTACACTCAATAAGCCATTAGTACCGATAATGGTGGTTGTAAGAATATCATCAAAACATAAGGGCTAACAGCTTCCCTTGCCCTTCTAAGACTCAACAGTCCCTTCATCAGACCATGGTACATGTTAATATCAGGCTCTTCTACCCCTTGGAAAATTCGGTACCCCTCTCTAACTCTCTTTCTAACCAAAATCCCATAGATTAAGTCTCCAAGAGCAGACTTATCAACTTCGATGCCTCTCTTTAGCATTTCAGCTAACACCATGAATGCGTAATTGATTTTTCCTTCTTTGCACACCCAATCGATCACAATACAGTAGGAGGCCGAACCAAGATTACAGAACTTTCTTTGTTGTAGCCTTTTGAACATAATCATAGCATCTTCAAACCGATTGTTCTTAAATAAAGTCTCGACTATCTCTTCGTATGCGCTGACATCTGGCTCGAGCCCTGAATCGAGCACCCGGTTCCATATCTTGGCGGCCTTCACCAAATCGCCAGCTCGACAAAACCCAGCAATCAAAAACCCATAAGTAGCCTCATCAGGTGGAATCAAATCTTTGATCTTCATAACAACCGATTTTGCAGCATCGACGTATCGTCGAGCACATAGAGCGCGCACAACCCTGTTCAACACCTCCACATTCTTAAACCCATCGTTGAGTTCAAAAATCTCAACGCACTTCTTGATCTCTCGAGCTCCAGCGAGATGGGTCGCTGCAATCTCAAGAGATCTTTCGGTGACGAGTCCCGTTTGGGACATTTCAAGGAGGAAACCATGGAGGAGGTCAACGTTCCGGGATTTGCCGAAGACGTCAAGGGCTTTGTTGGCGGTGACGAGGGAGTGGGTGAAGTTGTGGGCGAGCTTGGAGTAGAGGAGGAAGTTGTGGATGGGGCGCCATGAGAAGGGGAAGTTGTTGCAAAGCCGAAGGAAGAGCTCGTGGGTTGGGGTGAAGTTGAGTTTGTGAAGGTGAGTTTGGAGTTTGGGAAGTGGGGAGGTTTGTTGTTGGTAGAGGACTGTGGAGAGGCGGAGAAGGAAGTCAGGGTCGAGTAGGGAAGTGGAGAAAGAGCGAGAGGAGAAGTGGGGTTTAGGGAGCGGCATTTTTTCAGGTTTTAGAGGGAGGTGTAGGTTTAAAAATTCGAGGGTTTTAAGGACGTGTGCTCAAATTCTCAATCTCATTCTTTAGACCATCAGCAGCAGGAGGGCAAATATTGCTCTCCACCTCAGCTTTTGTCCCCACCAATTAAATATTTAGCACCCTCTTTTATTTCAGCTCCACAGCAGGAAGGCAAATATGTACTTTTTTACTTTATCTATACCCCACCATATTTTCTCTTTCATCCACATCACTATATCATATACCCACCGTTTTTTTTTTGTTTTTTTTACACTGGTGGGACCCACATATTCAGATTTGCCCATGGGCAATTTTTGCTCTCCAAAACGTTCTCTCTCCAGTTGCTTTCCATTTTGCTTCCCTGCTGTACAAGATATTTCCACATTTGCTCTGCTGCTGTATGTGGTCTTACAGCTGATTTAACCTAGCAAGGTTCCTCGTCACCAAAAAAAATCCAGATCAGTGAAAAAGAATAAATTTAAATATGTGAAAATATTCTTAACAGAAAATAGCTTTTGATATAGCTTTTTTTTTTTGTTGACAAGGGAACCTTGGTCAGTACCTCCACTTAAACTCCCTTTGCAGCCCGTAAAATATTCTTAACAGAAAATAGCTTTTGATATAGCTTTTGATATAGCTTTTTTGTAAATTCACAACTACTACAATTAATATCTATATAATCAATATACTCCCTTTCCTCCTTTATGTAATAAAAAGAGAAATTGGTGAACCCTCCCTAAAGGTACTACTATGCGTCATGTGATCATGTGTCAAATCTCAAACTCTTTCTTTCAATTAAACCCAGCAAATATTATAAAGTAAACCGAATTTGAAGCAGAATGAAGCTACAGAATCATAAGGGTGTGTTGGGCAACTTCAAAATTAAACTAGGCTAGACTAATTTTTTTTCTTAATTAGACCAAAGTTGATCCATATAAGATTTGCTTTACGAAAGAACTAGTTTAAAGCCTATAATTTGAACTAGAAAAAACTAGATCAACTTGGTCTAACTTTTGCCAAACCAAAAATAGGATTTTGGACCAAGGTTATACCAAATAAAATAAGTTCTAAGCTGCATTTGACACAAAACTCGGCCAGCCCATCATCATCAATTCTCGCCATGTTCCAAATTGATTTGGAGCCGAGAGGATGCTTGAAACGGTGATGCCGTTAATATGAGACCGATGGACGGTCTTAAAACGGCTATCTCGTTAATTTGAGTCTAAAAGCTGGCTTAAACGGTGATGCCCTTAATTGGAGACCGAAAGGCGGCCCTGAAACGGCGATGCCGTTAACTGAATATGAAACGACGATGCCGTTAATTGAATATGAAACGACGATGCCGTTAAATAGATATGAAGTGGCGATGTCGTTAATTAATTATGAAACGAGGATGCCGTTAGTATGAGCCGAGAGACAGCTACCTCGAAGGCCGAGTGTGGGAAGCCCCGAGGACTGCCGTGAGGGTTGGGGACGAGACTCTGATCTCGCCAAATAATTCGCCGAAAAACTATCAGAGTGAGACAGGAAGGGCCGTGCCTCACAAAGATTGTAGAAACCGGCCAGAGAAAAAAAAAATAAAAAGAGACGGTCATGCCGATGGAGATCCGTCACGAGGGAGGGGGAGAGAAGCATTACGCGTTTCCAGAGAGGAAAAGGAACGGACTGAGATCTAGGATTTTCAAAACCCTAGAAAGGGGCGGCTACAACAGAGAGAGCCGACTGAAAACTAGGGTTTTCAAAACCCTAGAGAGGGGCGGCTACAAGAGAGAGAGCCGACTGAAAACTAGGGG